CGACTTCGAATCACCGAATTGCTCGTATTCGAGAGCACGGATAAATAGTCGAAGATTTTCTTTAACGATCCAATTGACCATCGCGTTCGACGTTCCTCCATTCCAGATTCGCTCGAATCGATTACATTAACGATTAACCCCCTCCCCCTCTCCCGACGGAAATGGAGGCGCAACATCCATCGCATCGGTTTCTCGAAAGGCGGAACTTCCAGATTGCTTCAGCATCGAGCATTTTCATTGAAGTTAAACGTCCACTTTTGTTGCCCCGCTGGAACGGACCGAGGTCGGATAGAATGTTGATCTCAATAAATCGTTTTAAGCAACCATCGGCAGCGAGCAGCGATTGAGTTTCGAAGACCCCGAGTGGAAAATAAAAGTTTCCTTATTGTTCGAGTATTTGCCTTTTCGAGCGCCTCTTCGGGCACTCGTAGAACTCGAAATTTGTCCTGTTTATTTGACCGAAGTTTCCCGCTGGCTATCATCTTTCGAGCAAAATACTCTACACTGTGTTCTTGCTCGTGCAAGCAACGGGAAAGTCTTACGAATCGATAAAGTAGGGGTGGAATTGAATTTCGTAGGGAGCTAAGCACTACTTATAATAATATGTACATTTTCTGTAAATTGATTTTATATAGAGAGTGAATTTGAAATTGTATTTTCATAATATCGACTACTTGTAGTTTGGTGGTGAAAATCGAATAGAATTTGGAGACTATGTTTCCAGTTTAATTAAACAAAAGAAAGAAGAAAGTACATTAAAAGTGTTGCTCATGTGTTTAATTAAATATATTTTTTAAATAGTGGATGAGTCGGAATATTATCTTTACTATTGTTTATTACAGTCGAAGAAATAATAGAAAATTTGTAAAAACCCTCAAGAACTTTTTATATTTATTACCAATAATTCAGTCACAATTGTCGGATCTGAAATACCTCCTTCAATAAAAAAGATGCCAGTAACGATAACAAAACATCACAATACGACGCAACAACATCCACAGCACTCGCGCTTTTCCTTCGTCTCAACAAAATTTAACCATCCCCCTCGAACCTAACCGAATAAAGAGAGAATTGCAGCTCTAATTTCGACTTTAATTCCACGAATGTGGAACACTGCATAATTCCGTTCCGTAACTCAATTCCCGACAAAAATTTACTCCGGGCGAGTTTTTAATTTCCGCGATTCAATTATTCGGAAAAATGTCCGCCCGTTAGCGCTCGCGAGCAGGTTGGTCCACGACCATCGGGTAAAGATACAACAAAAAAAAAAAAAAAAAAAAAAGAAAAATAGAGGGTTGGGGAGGTTGGACGCTGGAGCATCTCACAAACATCCCCAGATTACCGGTATGAAACGCTAAATCCATACCTGCGCGATTCCCTCGTCGGGCGAGCGTTTTAGCCGCCTCCCCAGCGTGCAGATTATCGCGGAAGTTTTGACGCCAGACGGGGCACAAAAGAATCAAAGCGGCGGAGGGAGGGGGGGATAGAAGAGGCCTGAAAAGCGGCACGAATCGGGGTCGCGTTTGAAGTAGCATTTCCTTGGCACAAACGACCCTCTTAATCAATTGCTAGCACCTTTATCGCGGCTCTCGTGGCGCCCACGCCCTCCGCTCGCCGGAAGTGTAAAGCCTCGGTAACAAGCCGCGGCTTCGATAAATCTCGCTCTTTCTCTCGCCTCCTTCTTTTCCAGCCGGCCGATTTCGCGGGCATTAGCGTGAAACCAAAAGAAAAACGGACGAGGGCTGTGCGTATACCTCGAGCGAACTGCGATCGAAAGTGGAAAGCAACGTTCTGCGTAATATGATTTTTGTTTGTAGAGAGTTTGACGTAGCGATGAAAAGGCGATATGGTAAAAGTGTTGGTAGTTTTGAAAAGCAGAGGTAAAAGTATCTATGATAATTGATAGGAGACTGATTGTGAGTGGATGTAACGGGAAAGATAAATTTAAAAGTTTCTATAGAAGGTTTATTAAAGTTTAGATTCCACGGTTTAGGAAAATTTTCGGAAACTGCGAGATAAGTATGGGAGCAGAGAGCAAGAATTGAAATCCAAATTTGACGAGTTGATTACTAAATTTCCTCAAGCTGCAGTATGACAGCATCCACATCTTAATTTCTTGTACAAATTTTTGTTCATTCCTAACGTTGCCAGATAACATACGACACTAGTGTCTATAATGTTTCTAGTTTAATTAAACAAAAGAAAGGAGAATGTATAATAAAAGTGTTGTTTACGTATTTAATTAAATATATTTTTTAAATCAAATGTAATTAGTGGAACTGCCGAAATATTTGATGTTTATCATTTATTACAGTGGAGAAAATAATAGAAAATTTGAAAAGAGCATTCTAACGTATTCGTCCCTATTAATTTATCTCACTTTATGTAAAAGGAACGTTGCAAGAAGAATGGAACAACAATTCAAAGTGACTCGTTCTTAGAAAGAGAAACACGGTTTTGCCTGCATTATATACAGCACTGAGTTCCATATTTTATGCAGCAATTTAGAGGCTGTCGTAAAAAAATCGTATCCTAATTTAAATATTACTGCATGCTAAAGAAGTTTATTCCTCGGTTGAAACTCATGAAAGATTCAGTAGTCCATCGAATATGTAAAGCACGTATTCGTTACCTTATCGAATTTAATTGGATTTTTCCCTCTTTTTCTAATCCGTATAATATTATTTAATTTCGTCCTTATTCCATCATGTCCAATTCTATAAATTCTTAAGCGTCCAAATAATTAAAACACACGTACGTACGTATGTTTAAAGGATAACCAACGAAGCACTCAATCCTCATTGCACCCGAATTAGAACACATACACATATTATTTAAATCAGCCACGAATGCAAAATGGATTCAGCATGAAATTTTAATTAATTCTCTCGCGTTTCAAACAAGCTCGAACGAATAAATGTTTCCATCTTTTTTCGCGGACTGCAGCCAACCGAATCCGCGATCTTCGCGCGAGCTTAACGCAATCTTCGATCCCGCATGCTTCTGAGCCCCGCGACAACGTTAATTTACGCCCCATTTGCATCGTCGCCGATAAAACGGAATAAATGGCCAGCTTATCAGCGAAAAATACTTGCCGTGAAAGTATCCGCGATAATGCAAAGCAGGGATCAGCGTATTTCAGTAAAATAATTCTGTATTAGGCCACGCATGCGGGCCGGGGCTAATCTAGCCGGGGCCACGCGCCCGGACTTCGAAAACGAGAAAATTAATTGCGATCCCAAAAATACGAGGGGACGATCCCCATTATAATAAATTCAGGGGTAAGTTTCGCGGAGGCTGTGACCCCGTTAGAATTTATGCGCCGTATAAGCCAATTATTTATTGTCGTGGCGGCCTCGTGATTCCGGAATCGTCGACCGCGGAACCCTTTTTAATTCGCCTACGGGAGTGAATGCTCTTCGTCCAATTAGGGTAGGGAACTTCGACGATATAGCTCGTCGTGGATCTCTGGTTATTGTGTTTTGGGGGGGGGGTAAAGAAAAGAAACATTTCTTCCGGAAATAACAGGAACGGGATAGGAAAATTTCTTGGATGAGACGGAATTTTTAGTAATTTCTCGTTGATTATTTTAAAAGGTACAGTCGCTTTCGTAAGTTTCCGTACCATGTATATTGAAGAAATTTGTCTAACTCAAATGATAAGTTTGATGTTACCAAATGAATGTTCTATTATGTATATGTACACCAACAAACTTTACATGTAAATATATTTATAATGAAACGTATCTTTAGAAACATCGAAGCTACGAATACTTATAGGATTGACTGTATGTTGAATCCTTCTTTCATCAAAGGATTGCAAGATCTAACTAAAGATTCGTATTCTGTGATGAAATTCTTCTGTTTTACTGGCACTATAAGTGATATAGTACTATAAGTTTTACTGGTACTGAAGAAAGGTCCCAAGTGTTTCTTTTTTTACGAATACTTTAAGAATATTTCGATTACCATTAGCACAATACCTCACTGTTAGAACGGGCGCAATCTTTCTTAGTACGCCACTGCGATCGCCTCCACCGTTCCGACCGTTCCGACACTTCACTCTCGATCCTTGTTCTTTTGTTCTACAATAGTATCGTATCGCTTCCGCGTAGCACGCGGTGATGGTTTTTACACGGTTCGCATAATTGTATTTTCATATATTTATTTTATAATAAATAGTTATTAACGTAACTGGTCTTGTTCACTGCCCTCGGACATATCTAACACTCACGAACTTTTTTATTATACTAAACAGGTGATTCATGGATAATACCACTATACAAACACTATATTTTGTCATTAATCACAGTCAAGATAAACATGAACTTGATGGTCTGGACGAATCCTACCACAATCATCGATGCCTAAATGCCTAAATGTTTAACCTTCTATGGGCTGAATTTTGGTTCTACAAACAACTTGCAAGGGATTAGTTTGATATTCCAGATTGGTGGCGCTGTTAACCGCTATCAATATTGTAATCGGTTATCAGAGATACAATCAGTCCCATAACTATTCGTACCCTCCATCTGCATTGAACACATTTGTCTACATTAAATGGTAAGCTTAATATTTCCAAATAAATGTTTCGTTATGAATATGTACATGAATAAACATGTAAGTATATATTTATAATAAAACATTGACACAAAAACATCAAACTTATTATCATTTAATTTGGACAGACTTCGTCAATAAACATAGAGGGTACTTATAGAACTGACTGTATTATTTAATTAAGACGTATACGTCATCTTGTGAAAAAACTAAAATTATTTCGATAAAATAATACCGTTTGAACCCCGATATATTAGCACGTGATCTGAAAGTGACACAGGTCCATAGAAGGCTAAGTCTTGCAGCAAACTCCTCAAAAGCCAGTAGGTTCCCAATTCCTGATCTGAAGTAACTGAACTCGCTAGTAACCACGAGGTGATTCGCCCTTCGTGTCGAGGTCAGCAAGTAAATACGAAGTAACACCTTTACGGAAGTACTTACCTGTGCCAGCCGCCCCTAGCCTCAGAACTGCATCGCCTTGAAGGGAGATGGAGAGGGTGGCGGTGTCCTCCAGGCGTGCAAGAACTTCTTCGGGAATGTCCTCGGGTTCGCGGAGGCGGAGGGTGACTTCACCTCCGCCTCCGCCACCCTGACCACCACCACCCCCGGGACTCGTCGACGCCGAGTACATGAACACAGATCCGTACCCATGTAATGACTGCAGCGGCAGCCTGACGCCGCCCACTTCCCCGACCGGACCCTGAAAAACGAGGAAAGCGTGTTGAGTATCAAATTTTTCAAAAGGCTTCGAGTCATCTTTAGTATCTCGATTGTTAGAGGGAGGTTAATTGGTACATCATTTTTAGAAGGAATCGTTGATTAATTAAATTTAATATTAATACGATACAAATTGAGCACTTATGGGAAACGTTTTTGGTCCTGTTTGAGATTTCGGAACATTCTAAAATTACTTTTGGGTATTACTTTTTTAGCTTATATTGATTTGAATCTACCAGATGTAGGGATACGGTCTATCACGCTTCTTACTACGATTCTTTTATCATTTTAATTTATGTTATATAGCATCTATTCGTTAAAACATCAGGGCTTTAGTTCTTAACGTAGAGGAAACTTTCTTTCAGTTACTCTGAATCATTTCCATTCCATCCTACCCTAGCAAGACTGTAATGAAGTAGAAGTAGCGAACAAGAAACAAGGTAGTGTATCACTGATTTGATTTGACATGATTAAATACTAGGTGCAATCTTCAACAAAAATTCTTCTCTTATAGAAACAAATGTTCTTTAAAAGCTACGAGAAACTCTTCAAGAACGACAAGATTTTTCTTTGCCATTCAGGAAATTCGTTTAACAAGTAGTTTGTAATTCTAATTAATCTGGAGCCAATATATTCAGAACTGGTACTGTCAGTTTCCTGTGTAAATGGAGTCTGTATCTGCGGGTTTGTGCCGTTCGGATGTTCTTGATGTGTGAGTTTATAGAGGTCAATCTGCCATTTGATCACTGTGCCTCTCCATAGAATTTATACTTTGAAAGTATTATTGGAACGTGATTTTTTTTAAAATGGACCAGGCATTCAAAGAAATTAATACTTGTTAATACGAGTAACTCTAATTATTTTCAACACTATTTTATAACTGCTATGTACAAGGTATAACGTATTAATATTAAAATTATCCTAAATGAAGCAGGAGGTGCTGTTCTTTCTTTTCCAATCAGAAATTTTCATTTCTATTTCAATCGGTCAAGTATTTCGTATTTGTCGAGTTTGAAAATTCTCTGTCTTCTTGAACGTGTAAACAGATGAAACGCGTAATATGAAATTTTAAGAGGTCAGTTTTCTCTCGACTGGTCGGTATATTCCCTACAGAGGACGTCGTTCCTTTTCGTCGCACTTGGTTTTCATTTCTCGGATCTGCGTGTCCCCGTCGAACGTTCCTTTACGAGCAGAAATATTTTGCCAATTTCGCCGTCCATGCGAATTTCAATTCGCGAACGTCAATATTTGTCGAATCGCGTCGAAAAAGGATTTCGATGTACCGGCACTCGATGTGCCGTCAAACACTCTGGCCTCCCTAAGAACGGTATTACCCAGTATTAAAATAAAGGGTCGACGTTCCCTTCGTCGAGGAAAGTGGACGGAACAGAAAAAAATGCACGTCAACCGAACCGTTTCTTCGATAAATGCGATTACTTACGAAGAATTTCTATAGTGTAATCCAGTAACAATATCAAAACTCCTTGGTCACACATTCAGATGAAATTTAAAGAATATTTATTCAAAGAAATGAACCTCGAATAAAATATTATTCGTTATTTGTTATTCAGATAATTCAAATAATAAAGAAGGAAGTTCATAGATTAAACAATAATTGTATATAAATACATGTTACTGAGGTGTGCATACGTGTTGAATATTTGATGTAGTATTAATTTGTATGATGTCAGTTTTGTGTTATGTGCATGATACTCCTGACACTTTTAATTTTAAATAACAACTAATTATCCAAATACTTCATCAAATTTAATAACAATGAAATCTGTTCGCTGATAAGAGAGTCACAAATAAAAAAAAACAAAAACCGTCAAACGAATTTATCGTGTACAATGCAAGCAGCAGTCGTAAAACATAGGCGAGCGGTAAAAGTTGCCCGTAAAAGACTCTGGTAAGAGGTTGTGAGCTCGTGGGAGCCGCCAGCGTGTTTATCAGTCCTCTTTCAGGCGCCCAGGGAGCGCCGTGGATTTATCCAAGGATTTTCGCCCTTGACCGAGCTCCTGGCCGCTTGTATCGGGATCGACATCGATGTCCCTGAACGTGCCAGCTAGTCGCTGGAGATTCTACGGAAATCCATTACCCGTTATCGCTGGACATGTCCAGAAGAAGCACGGGACTCCGAACTTTAGCCGAACTTGAACCGCGTTAACGAATAAATACTTGGAACTCGGAGTAATTGTTCTGGGGAGATGGTAGGACGCAACACGAGGTACTTTTATGATATTCAAAGGCAAGATTGCATGGTTGGAAGTTGGGCTGTAATTGTTGACAGGTGTCACAGGTTGGGTGAAAAATTCAGGGGTTCTTAGAATCTTCGTGCTGAAGAAGTGAGAGTCATCGTTTCATAAATTAAGATAATTGTATAGGAATATTCGTTAAGATGTTATGAAGCCACTTCGAGCAATTGCTATTGGGATATGAAAGTATTTAATTATTAAAATTGTATGAAGTCTGGAACATCATTAACGATGCACTCAATTATCGAACGTAGAATGTAAAGTTCCATTTTTGCGTTCTCATAGCCCTTTTGAGCAACTGCTACCGAGATATGAAAGCATCCAATTCTAAAAATTTCGTAAAGTCTGAAACATCACTACCTATGTATCCAAACATTAAACCCGAAATCTGGAAGACCATTCTCGCTAATCACAGGCACTTTATGAGCCAAGAAGTTGCCAAATCGATCCCCAGGAAGCCGACGTTCCCAGCGAGATACGATTCGCGTTTCCCAGGACATTGATCAGTATTCTGCCATTCGACGTCTCCGACAAACCCCAGCAACGATCGACGATTATTTAGGACGACGCTGGAATTCCTGTAACAGTCGAAACGCTCCCGTTTCCGTGGAATGCCGGTTCCCCGCGTCGTCAGCAGGATGAGACAGGTTTACGAGCGTGTTGACGAGAGTTTGAAAAGTGTACGAGGCAGCGAGTATCACGGAATACGTGTATCCACGACGCACGGCTGACAAGGAGATGCCAGGCCCGTCTCTACCCCAGGACAAACAACCGGAAATGTGGCCATAACAATGCGGATACGCAGCCAGCGCTCCTCTGTGTGCCCGTTTCCGATGCACAGGGACTATCGATACAGCACCGTCACACAGTAGCAACGCAGATTTCCCGAGCTGTAACGTAAATACGGGCCACGGTTCCACCGTCTCGTACCCCGAAATCGATTTCGCGTATTTGCTACAATTACTAGAGACTCGAAGAATGTCAACGCAGGTCCGTGCGAAGGATTTCGTGCTTCCGTTTGGTAAGAAGGGTTGGGAGAATGGAAAATGTGGACGATTTAGGGTGGATTTAAGAGCGGAGGTGTGGGGAAAGTCTGGGTAGATACTCGACCAACCGAATATTCGTGCCCTCTACATTAACTCGCTGACTGCCATACTAATACTCTCAAAAAGTTTTACTACGATTAATCCTTTGACCACGGGAATGATAGGGAATATAAGAATGATAAGACGGAACTTTTTAATATTTATAGTTTATTCGTAGGTAGGTTAGGTTTAGAGATAATAATTGAATACTTAGAAGACCTCTTTCCTGAAATTCAATTTTTGCGATAAACTCTTAGCTCTATTCAGTTTTTATTTTCGAAAGTAGGCATCGTATGAATAAACTGCAAATATAAAAAAGTTTCGTCTCATCATCCCCTATAAATTGATATTTTTTAGAAGTTGATATAAGGAGTATAAGCATTTCTCTGACCCCATTTCTCGAGGGCGTATATATATATATATGTATACATACGCTCTTCGCAGTCAAAGGGTTAAGTTTTGTTTATCGAAAACTACATAATCAAGCATTTATTGTGATATATATTTTTGTAACTTTATCAATGTCAAGAATTTCATTCAAATATATTTTCTTCGATCCGGAATATTCAGAATTATTTTTTTAGTTCATCAGTGAAAAACACTGTCACCCTTTCATGGGCGACGTGGCGATCAACATGTCAAGATCTCTAAGCATCCGTTTTGTAAAAGATACTAGAATATTCTAAAGAACCTATCTCAAGATACAGACGAGTCTATTCACCGTAACTCGCTTCAGTCCAAATAATCACACGGTTTTACGCTTGTATCTCCTCGCAGCGTCCCTTCAGCCGTCCACGAGTCCCCGACAACACTCTACTAATTTTCTCAGCACTCTCCTGATGCTTCTCGAACGTTTCCCTCGGACCCTCCTTCTCCCAGAGGATGCTGCTCAACCGTCCATTCTGCTTCTGAATCGAAAACCGCTCGTCGGGGCGAAATTAACGCGGGAAAAAGGCTCACGGTGGAAAATCGACGGCCGAGGACTCGCATCCCCGCGAAGGGCTGTCCCCATTGTTAGCCCTCCGCCCATTCGGTCGGGAGTCATTAAAGCGAATATTACCGTAATACGGGGAAATTGTGGACGCCGGCCGCGCGGACGGTGAAGAGTGCAGACCGACGAAAACGACGACGATGTGCCAGCGTTTGTTCGCCGCGAGCCAGAGCCGGGAGACCGTAAATTTTCCAGCGACGAGCGATTGCCGGGTACGCGTCGAATATACAAAGCGAGATCGCGTAACAACACCCTCGCCTTCTCCCGCCCGATTCCATCTCTATCGCCCCGTCTCGCTTCCTGCGAACCATCCCCGAGGGCCTCTGTTCTTTCCAGCGTGCAAGTATTTTCTCGCGTCCGTCCGTCCGTCGCTTAGCGAACGCCGCGGAACCCAGGAACAAAGCAGATTGCTCTCGGCCCGCATTAAGTTTCGCTCGCTCCTCGTCCGGCAGCTTAATGACTTATCAGACGGGAAAATAGCGTGAAAGTGGATTATTCAAATTCTTCGTTGCGTATTACTATGCATGGAAAATTATCAGCGGGAGTTCCGACGCATCGGAGAGTCTGATTACGGTTTGAACAAGGTTTCTTTTTCGCGAGACGCGTCCACGCTCCTTGCTGGCGACCCTAAGAAACCTCTGATTTCCGCGTT